GAAGTTCTCCGCCGGTCTACGGGCATAAAAGTGAAGGAACTTTTTGATGTAGACTGTCCAACTGTGTAGATGGCAGGCGCCTATCATCGCGAAGGCGTGGGCCCGCGTTTCAAGCAAGTGTTGAACCCGTAGGGCCGCGCCTGCAATGTCAAGGTCCCACTCATCTGGTTGCGAGTCGCTGCCAGTCCGGCTGCGACGAGCCTTGACTTCCAGAAGCTGTTCCTCGCTTAGGATGCGACGCCAGGGAAGCCACTCCCACAGCTGGTCCGCCTTTTGCTGCTGAATGGTATTCAGGTAGCACAGCTCTGCCGTCACATGCACTGAGGAATAATCCTTCTCAAGCTGGCGACGCATCCTCTCCCGATCACTGGGGCTCAATTTGGCGCCGGAGTTGGGCGTCAGGAGAGCCAAAGCCGTCTCAGCGGATCGAGTAGCCAACGCCTGCTGGCCCACCACAGGGGACCGCTGCAGACTTCCAAAAAATACGCAACCTGGCTGCCACTGGGTGCGTTTTCCACTCATCGGCCGCCAAACCAGTGAGCGCTGCATCTGGGAGTTTGGCCTGAAATTTAGCCATCCACCCTTCAAACGCTGCCTGGTCCACAAACGCGCCACAGAAGAGCTCCTCTGAGTCATACCCAGCCCGGATAATAGCATCTGCCACGCCACCCTGCACATCTGCATCAACCAACTTGGCGCGCCAGACCGCCATGACTCAAGCAAGCAAGAGGAAGATCGAGCAGAGCAAAAGCAAGCGACTTCACGCACACACTGATCACACTTAGACGCAAGCGTTAAGGCTACACCATCATCAAATACGCCAGGCACATGTCAAACTTCAGACTCCACGGAGCGCACCCTGCGCGGCTATCACACCCCATGAAGTCACACACTGCAAGCTGGCACACACTGGGACACCATCCCGGGCCCAAGCCCTCGCACCCAAAGCGCAGGCACAAGTACCCGTTCGAGGGCACAACAATCCCCATCAAGGGACATCAACATGAGGCCCAAAGCCTTGTAA